GCCCTGGCCAATCATTTCCCTGTGCTTTTCGGCAACACTTTATTCTCAAATTGCCTCTCTCCTCCCAGGTTTAACAAATGAATACTGATGAATTTAAAGGAGCTCAGTCATGGTATTTTGAGTTATTTTGGCCATATACAAAATTACTTTTAAATGGTAGGAAACCTGAAAATAACAGTGAAAACACCAAAGAGATAATGATAAACCATAGAGGAACAAGGATGGCTAAGTATGGAGAAGATTGACACGGATTGCAAACAATGAATTTGAAAAATTGAGGCTAAACTTTTCAATTTTCGCGCAAACTGTGACTGAGTTCCTTTAATGCTGAAGGGGTGAGCCTGCAATTGACTAGCATCCTATCCAGGGGGAAGGGGAAAAAAGATGCTCCTCAGGTAACATAAACACCACAGAAATTGGGATAAGCTGGTATGAACCACACGGCCGAATACAGACTTCACCTTTACTAATCTCACAGTCATCTGACCAGGACTCCAAGTCATACACTTATACTAGGGTGTTATCTCAGTTCCACAGAATCATTTGACCTCAAACTCTCTTAACCTGGGTGATGTCCCATAACTGAAACATAAAAGGATTTCAAGGTCCTTATTTTTCTTTTACAAATATAACCCCTTATTATTGTGCAAGTCTGTGAACACCAGAAATATTTATGGAAATCAAGGGCAGATCTAGGGGGAGGGTGCAGAGGGTGTGCACCCCTCCCTGAGATGACATGCTGCTTTCTAATATAACTGGTATTCCGCAAAAGAAAAAACTCAGTTATGCCATTCCTTAGTGGTGCACCCCCTCCTAAGAAAAATTCTGGATGCGCCCCTGGAAATGTATTTGTGTAGCAAGGGAAAAGTCAATTCAGGAATGAGAACACTTAAAACTGCAAACAGCAATGGTAATAATTTGGTTTGTGGTTTTGTGGGTTTCTTACATGTCCGCAGAACTTTGTAATTTGTGATTGGTCGGTACACAGCTTACCTGTCAGAATCGGCATGCAGGGGTATTTGACTGAACGTTGAACACCAAATGCACTGTTTGCTTGCAGTTTAATAAGTTTCACTCAAGGTTGCTTGTGGTTAGCTTTTGTTTGTTAAGGACAGCATTGTATTGGATAATTGGCCCTGTCCAACAAATAAAAACTAACCGCAAGCAAATATAAGTGAAACTAACCACAATCAAACAGTGCATTCGGCATTCAGCATTCAGCTTTCCACGTACTGCAAGTAATACCCCTGCCATGTCAGAATGAAATTTAAATGTTTGCAGATTTCTTGACTCGCACAGTAAAAGGTAGCAGAATCCGGGGGGGGGGGCACTGCCATATATGGGCTATATAGGTATGTGCCGCTGTGAAGGGTATGGTTTTCAATTCAATTAATCAATGGAAATAGTCAGGAAGTGAAAGACTATTGTCATGAAAACATGAGATTTTATCTTTTTTTGTCTAAAATGTACTTACTTTTTAGTCCAAAAAATTGAAAGGAACAGGTGAGGCTGACAGGTGCCACCCGCCTGACTAAGGCCCTAATTAAAGCCAATGAGATCAGTTGTTATAAAGCTGAGGAAAATGTTGGCCAATTATCGCGCGCGTTAGATAAAAGCGAGCCCTACAAATATTCATGAATAAGGGGCGCCCCGCTGTTTAGTCAGCACATGCGTGGCAGCACCACGCTACTTTGGTTCTATTGAGCAGCCGCCATCGCGTTCTCTTTTCCGCGCAAGTCGGTGGAGCAGCTTCTTTGCGCAGATTCAGAAACTTTGCCGAGTTATTTTTGATCCTGCCGTCAAACCAGGTATCTTTGCTGTGTTTTAGCTAAGAATTGGGTCTTGTTTCAGCGGTTATGGAACGTAGTTTGTCGATTGCCAGTGTAAGTATCAACACCGTGGTAATCTAGTGAATGGAGAAGTTTACCAGACGAAAAGAGCGTAATTTTCGAACGAAAAAGGCATTTATTTTCTCGTGATCGAGTACGGGAACGAATTCGATCAAACACAATTTAGGGGATTTTAGCCGTGTTTTTTTCTTGATTTATTTGGGTAATTTCTCGATGAAAAAGCTGCCTTAAGACGAGGTTTTTGACATGAATTTCGTATTCATACGTCGCTTGAAAATTCAATGAGCGAACTTCAAAGAACTGGTACGACTGTGTTTTATCGCGTCGAGGCTGACTCTTTATGTTTCTTTGTTTACTTCTTTGACAGCAAACTGGCTCAAGTCAGTCTTCACCAAGTGGGTTTAACCCAAGCTTTGTCGCAAAGCATGTCCCAGACGTTGCAGATGTCCCATTCGATGTCTCAATCGATGAGTCAAATGTCCGACGATGAACCATCTTCGCCAGAGTCAACAACCTTCGATGGCTCGGACTTGCTGAATTCCACCGTCAGCGATGAAGTAACCGCTCAGCTGGCCGCAGCGGGGCCTGTCGGCGTAGCTGCCGCCGCCGCCATCGCGACTGGGAAGAAGAGGAAAAGACCACATTCGTTTGAAACAAATCCATCGATTCGGAAACGCCAGCAAACTCGTCTTCTCCGAAAATTAAGAGCCACGATAGATGAATATACGACGCGCGTTGGACAGCAAGCTGTGGTGTTGTGCGTTTGCCCTGGGAAGCCAAATCCGCTTTTCAAGGTGTTTGGAGCCGTGCCTCTAGAGAATGTGGTTAGAAATCTAAAACAGCTTGTTCTTCAAGACTTAGAGCACGCTTTGGCCGAACATGCCCCTCCACCACCCCCAGAAAATCCAGATATTTACACCCTCCCACCGCTGGTCATAGATGGCATACCAACTCCTGTTGACAAAATGACCCAAGCCCAGCTCCGAGCTTTTATTCCAATGATGTTGCGTTATTCTACTGGTAGAGGAAAGCCAGGTTGGGGAAAGGATTCTACCCGGCCGGCTTGGTGGCCATCTGACTTACCTTGGCAGAATGTACGCAGTGATTGCCGCAGTGAAGACGAGAAAGCTAGGATATCGTGGACAAATGCTCTGCGACAGATTGTGAAGAACTGCTACAAGTATCATGGACGAGAAGATCTGTTGCCAGCCTTCTCAGAAGGAGATGCACCACAACACCAGTATGTGCAGCAGCCACATCAGATGGTGCACACGATTTCAAATGCTGATGGCACCGTGTCCCTCATCCAAGTGGACGCTTCAGGAGCTGTCAGCACTTTGTCAGATGCAGCTACCTCGCAAACAGAAGCTACACAAGCAGTAGCCACCTTAGCAGAGGTAGCTGCAGCAACTCAAGTAGAGGTGACCCTTCCCCACCCAGGACAAAACGAAGCAGTTACAATCGACCAAAGTGAATTGTCTCACACAGAAGCAATTGCACAAGCAGCTGTAGCCACTCTAGCAGAAGCCACCCTTGCTGAAGGCGGGCAGATTGTTTTACCAGAACATGCTGCTGCTGCAGCCGCTGCTCTGGCAAATGTACAGGATAACATGAACACTTCTAACATGGTGACCATTCCTGTGCAGGCTGCAGCATCTCTCATGCAGATTCAGACTCACCATTTACCAGCAAGCACCCACTCTCAGTACATGACTGCATCAGTACCTCAAGTAGCTATGGCCCCTCACTCAATAATTCAGACAGTAACGACCACATCGATGGGACATGAGGTTCACACACAAATTGTCGATACCTGCGAGGGAGTCCCGGTTGCTACCCAAGCTGTAGAAGTAGTTACTCTTGAAAATGCTCAGGATCCCATGAACTGATGCTACTTCAAGGCAGGAACTGCATCATAATGTAAAGAAATACAGAGAAAAGCAAGATGTAAATATGGGCTGTGTAAACAGTAACTACACGTGAAAAGACAAGTTAGAATAAGAATAATGAAAAGATTGGAGCTTTGGATGATTTTAGTGGAGAAAAGAAACATTGTTTAATTTTAATTTTTGCTCAAAGACCTTGCTTCTTAACATACACATTACATGTCCCATGTACATGTTAAGTTGTAACTTCTAAATATCAGACTTATGGACCTGTTTTCATCCAGAAAGTAATAGTATACTTGGGTACCTTGTTTTAGATTTTTCCCTACAAGACAAAAACTTCTAACTTGAATTTGTATATAAACAACTTATGTACGTCATGAAATTCAGTTATCGCTTTCACTTTCTGTTTTTTTTTTTCTTTGAATGAAGTAAAACCAGTCTTCTTTATTTTTGTGACATGTTTTGCAATCTGACTTGAGCAGTGTTATGTTGATTAACTTTTTTTCAATGACATGGAGACTGATTTATTTTTGAGTTGGAAATATTGAAGTGGTATTATTAAAAGAACCTATGTAAACGTACTCTGATGTGTCTAGAATGAAATTGTACATTGTTAAGTGGTGGTGATTTCAGAGCCCTTTTAATTAAAATGTTTATTTAATGTGTTACCTGTGTTGTTTGACTGTATTTTCTCTGAAATTTTCAGCTTTGACTAGTTTTGCATCAAGTTAAATAATGACATTACATGTACTTGAGTTAAGGGGGGGAAGGGTACATTAGTCAATGTCCTGAAATCTTTTTTAAACTCTTTGTTTGAGTACTGTTGGCATGGAAATCTCAAACCAGGATTCGTGTCTCTTTAAGTACTTGAGAGATGGAATCAAAATTCAAGGCCTTGAAATTGCTTGGCAAGTGAAGTGAGCCCTTGCAAGTCCTTGAAATTTGTTTATTTTTTTTGCCAAGTGTTTCCCTTCCTAGGCTGATGCAAAACCAAAATGGAGCAGGGGCTGTTGTACTACCTTATCGTGCAGATACCAGTTCAAGATGGGGTCCTTTTCATGGGGTATACTTTACTGCTATCCTTTGATGAAAATTGTTATGGTACTACCTATCAAAATCTGGTTGTTGTGAAATGTTTGAAAATGACGTGTTCAAATTTGATAGTGTGGAGAAATTCTAATAAATGAAAACCACCTTCACTTCCAATGAGAGATGCAGAACCCGATTTAATTCTTAAGGCTGAGAGGAAATATGTACTTGAGATTTTGCAGTTGAGCAATACAGCACTTTTTCCATGGTTACCTAGCCTCATCTAATCAGGAGGGGGCTTCGGATAATTGGAGACAGTAATGCAAACCTGAGGTGCAATAAAGGGTTTGCATAACTTTCGAGAATCAGTCTAACCCCCCGCCTCTAAGTGTTAAGATGAGCATATGTAAAATACTACTGCTTCTACAAAATATTTCTCAAGAATGTGTTAATGAAATGCCACAACCTATCGAAAAATGTGTGTGTAGTATTTCAGTTACTTTACAATAAGAGATGGAGTACCCCAGACCCCAGTAAGAACAATGGCTACCCAGTACATTAACAATCATTCATTATAATTTATTTAAACTTCCTTTTGATTGTTTGGGAGACCTGCTCTGATATATGAGGTTCAAGAGGAAGAATTTAAGAACAAAGGGTGCTGCAAACTCTTTGTTGGGAGGTGGGAAAAGAAAGGGTGGAAAGTCATTGGAACTAAGAGATGTTGGGAAAAGTTTTGCCAGTTGGAAGGTGGGTAAATGGGGGCTGGAAAGTCATCAGAACCAGAAGTTTTGCCTAAAGTGCAGAGCAACTATGGCCAGAAGTAAATTGTATTGTGTTCACCAGTGTGAAATTGTGAGGCCCAACCAAGGTAGAATATGCAGCTTTGCACTGCACAATTTTTCAGTAGTCAAAACTTACTTAAAGCTACGAGAAGCACAGTTGTTAAGACAATTAAAAATTATCCTTAGTATCTCTAAATGATTGCTTACAACTGACAAAGTAATCAAATCTTTCTCAACCATGCCCAGTAGTTGTTATGGTCTGTAACATCATAAGTTATTGTGCAATCTGTAATAAGTTTTAACATGAAGTGAACAGCCCTTCAACACAATAGATCCTTAGCACAATTTTATTCATTCAAGGGTCACTTCTGTTGTCATCAACATGCTTACAACATTATCATACAACAACAAAAAAGTAAACAGTATGCAGTTACAAAAAGAACTTGATGACAGCACAAGTATGTTAAATATCTATAAGGTTTGTCTTCCTAACATGAGAAAAGTAACAAATTTCATTGTTTTGATTGACTTTATAAGCAGCAGTTTTTTCCATTTATTTAATTATCATGAATGACATCACAAGAATGCTACGCATTTACTTTGGAAACCTGCAATAAAATTCACTACTGCCTAATACATAGTCTTATTAATCATTATAAAGTTATTAATACATTGTACTTCTGGTTATTGAATGTGAAAAACAGTTCCCACTTTTCACATGCCCATTTCTTTTTTACTTGAGGGTTGCTTTTTGATTAAACCAAAAACCAAATCCATACTAACAAAGCAGCTCTGCAAAAATCAGCATTACCTCTATCGGTTGCTAATTACATTAAGTGGGAAACTCAAAACCAAACAACTGGTACGAAAACTTCACTGATCGCTGTGGAGTTGCATTATCAGCATGGAATTGTAGATTGAATAATCAGACCTCTTGAACAATAGGAAAATAATAATTCTACTGCTAAAACTCGCTCTTCCCAGTTTTGCTTGTCAGTAATCTGTCAACCAACTGCTAACTGTCGAACGAGTACAAAATCCCCACACTGTCACTCAGTCAACAGTTAGGCTTGACTACCAGCCATTGTTCAGTAGAGGAAGCTGTGTTCTCCTCTCTTCTCGGGGAGGAACATAGATTGGACTCGAGAGAGCAGCAGAAATTGTGCCTTATCAACAGTAGAATGGCAGATTTGTCATGGTTAGTGGCTGTTAGTGCCAATAATATTTATCATTATTATCAATTAAAAATATAGCCCTTTAGGAATTTGTGTAAGCATAATCACGCACACATTGGCAAAGTATTTATAGCCAAACAAAATTAATAATATTTTATTACTGACAAGCTTGATATATCTGGGAGCTGTTCTCCTTAACATTACCCTGACTATGGTATTGAGCCACATAGCTCATGCTGGGAAACATGAAAGTGTGAAAAAAATATAATTTACCATTTACATGTTTCTAGTGATGTGATAAATAGTGATTGATGTTTGTCCCTACATGACAGAACAAGTAACCACTTTTGGAGTTGAATGCAGCAAGGAAACCTTTCAAGAGTTTTTTTTTTTTTTTT